TGGGAGGATGTATGAGACATGCCCGATTGTGTGAAGGAGCAGAACATGAGCCTACATTAACAGACACCAACGTTTTCTTTGGGATATAAGACGTAACTGAAGGAGCTAAGGTACATGTCTCTTCTATTATTATACTGTCACTCTGTTTATTAAGACGCATGAGATTGTTAAGGTAGCTGAGAGGCAGAGTGAACTGGTGTACAAACTTAACTTAATACAAGCATTAACTTTGTATCTCAGTCTGGGTTTAGTATTTGTATGATAAACAAGAGAGTCTTCATTTAGTTTGTAGATGCAAGCTGGTACTGTTTTTCTATGTATATTTGCCCTTTAGGTGTGTAGTGTAACACCAGCACTAATCTTGTCAAAGAAATGCAGGTGAACAGGTTTAGAGATCTTGGATCTGATGTAAAAGAATGATCATATGTTTGAAGGGCTTCACTTTGGTTATACACACCACATTTAAAGTAGCTATGAATTCAAACAGAGCATAAACATTTTTTCTGTTTACAGCTTTGGTGAAGGGTGTGTATTGGTTTGTATAGCCTACCATTACATCATCTTGATCAACAACATGTAAAAGGTTCAAGGGTCTGTGCTACAAAAGAAGTTGAACTGAATAAAAAGTATTTGGCGCCTTAGTTTTTATTCCGACTGCCACGAAGAAAGCATTTGACCTCAACTTTGTGACATAACATCTGAATTTCTTGGTCTCAGTTACATGTTTGCTTAGACACCTTGTCATACTGGTTAAAGATTCATGTTACTATTCACAGATTCAACCCAAGAAACAAAATGGGATTCAGGACACTGTCACTTTATCTACATGTTTACCCACAACAAAGACTTTAATTGATTTTGCAAATAGAAAATATCCTGAAGCCATGACAAATAGGTGTATGGAAATACTAGAAACTTGTTGAAGGTAAGGTTCCTGTATGAACTGTGTGAGAGGCGCGCACAAACAGCAATACAATCTTATCTTTTTTTTCACATTCTACAGGATGACTTCGTTATCAAACTCCCACTGCAGTAATGGAGATACAATTTGTGGTGAGTTTTATCAGCAAAGAAGAAGCTCAAAGATGGTGGCTGCCTAAGCCAGTCTGGCCATCAGAGGTCTGGTTAACTGTTAGGTTGAACAAATACCAACACGTACTGCACAAACATATCTGTAACTGTGAGATCACTATACCTCAGACTTGAGTTACTTAAGACACTGATGTTTCCTAATGTCTCTTTCTGTGCGCAGAGATCCGCGTGTATGAAAAGGAGGTGATTGTTGTGCCTGTCATCCTGCTGGCCAGCTTCCTGGTCACTCTGGTCTTCATTTTTCTGCTGCGCTTTTGTCCAGAGAAAGTTCAACGCAAACGTCCACGGAGCTCAAAATCAGACTTCAGGAGAACACTGCATGGCATTGATGGTAAGTCACTGGATCAGATGTAGCAGTTACCTGGATTAAAGTACTCACAGCATATGAGACAGGTTTAAGTGAATACTGTATATTTCAAATAGTCACCAAAATGTTTCCATATGCGTATTTCTTGTGATGAGCAAATTCAGGAAGTGTAGTTAGAAGTTTAACTGTTTATAGTGCTACTTAAACTACAAAATGTTTTGAAAGTCATACTTCATACATTTTTGCCCCGGATTACACTATGATGCTTTTGCACGGTATTCTACAAAATATATAAATGAATTGACCTGAAATTGCAAAGGTACAGCAACCTCCTCGTTTCTATCGCTGACAAATGTTATATTTTGAACTTCTAGGTTGCCACTGCAGGGCATTGAAATTACGTTTATTCTGCAACACTTTATTTTAAGTTTTATTTAGCATTTATATAAATGTTTAATAAATGGTTTACAACACCTTATTGTAGTATAGAGCTGTTTTTTAATGTATGTGTTATGGGGACACCCATAAATGGGGCACCACAGAATAATGCATGACTGCGATAATGAATGGTGATACAGTACATTAATACACTTAAAATGCCCTTATAGCTGTGTACAATTACATTATAGTGTGTTAAAAACCATTTGTTAAATGTGTCTTTAAAAGGGTTTATATAATAGTATTCTGCTTTTTTTAAACCACCATATCTATTCAAGCTAAGGAGATGACAAGTTTTAGAGGTTTAGTTATATTATCCCCTGTAATCAATATTGTATGTGCTCTGTCTAGCTAAGCTTCAGTCAGAAACTTTTCCAGCTCTGTACATAGACTAATAGTTTTATTTACCTATACTCATGTTTATTCTTGCTGTTATTTCTTATGGTATATTCCCATTCATTTTTCCCTTTCTGCCTGTCTGTCTGTGCATAGCTCCACCAGGCATCAATGTCTTAGAGCATGAAAGCATCGCTCTGGACGTGCCCAATTCCTACTCCACCTTCCAATCCTCAAACACTTACCCCTCTAAACACCTCACCGTTCCTGCAAGCACACCCTCTATCCAGCCGAACCCCTCACCAGAGCCCGCTAAGCCTAGTTTCACTCCCATTGTCCAGCCCAGGGAGTTGCCCCGCAAGAGGCTGCCTGAGTCCTTCAACCTGGTCACCCCCCTGCCTGTTGTCTTCTCCCTGCGCTCCAACTCCTCTGTGTCTGTCTATAGGGCCTGTATGGAAAACAGGAATGTGGTGCTGCGGGTGCTAAATGGTGAGATGGATAACTAGCACTTTATTGATGTAAATAATGTTTGTACGTGTCTGTTGAGAAAAGCTCTTAATTGTCTCATTTGCAGGTCTTTGTCATCTGACTTAGACATGTAGCCGCACTGTTCATTTTTCTCTAGCATCGCCCTGTCATTCTTACCCTTCCTACAGACTCTGCTGATGCCACTGAAAGACAGAGCTTCCTGGGCTTTGCATCCTTCCTGGCCCAGCTCGGACCTCATCCTTTCCTGCCAGAGCTTCTCGGTGTTGTCTCTCTGCGAGCTCCTCTGGTGACAGTTGTGGAGGAGCTGGAGAATAGAGACCTGCTTAGCTTCCTGTGGAGATGCAGACAGGTAGGCAGTGCATGATTTATTTTTACAGAAGGTAAACTGCTCTTATTTGTGTTAACTCAAACATCAGACTAATTTAAGTAAAAAGCATTCAAATGGTATAGCTTCCTTTTGTGTTTGTTTTTTCAGGAAGGTGTGGATCCTCCATGTGAGATGACTGAGAGACGCATATTTACTATGGCCAGCCAGGTGGCTTCAGCACTGGTTCGTATGCTGATAAATATGTTCTCACCATTTTTAGGCCACTTTCAAATCAGTGACAAATTTCGGTCCTGTCCCCTCATCTCTCATTGAAAGGATTTCCCTCCAAAACTCCATCACAGCAGACACCTGCTGTATCTGACAATGCCAAAAGTGCCAAGAAAAGTAATCTTGTCCTATATATATTTCTCATCACTTTGTGGACAACAGAAAGACAGTCTATGGCAATGTTGGCAGCTCTGGAAGCATCAGTCATAATAATACATTATCTAAATGTCAGCATGCTAACCTTCTCACAGTGAGAATCCTAAAATGCTGATGTTAGCTGGTTTGCTTATTAGCATAAATACAAAGTATAGCTGAATGTAATGAGAATATCATTAATCTTGCGGGTATTAAACCAAAGGATTGGACAAAATGAAGTTTTAATCTGATGGTGGAACCACCAAAGTTATTGCAGCTATCCTGTGGGAAACATTCATGCACAGACATTCATGAATGTTTGTCTGATGGTCGTAGAGGCATTTCATTCGCAACCCACAAATGTTAATTGTCAATACTGAATTACCTGTGGATCTGGATCTGTCCCACCAGTACATAGTGTCAAAAGATTGGCTACGAATGCAGTTTCTGTGAGATTTTAGGAAGGTCTTTGCATATTAAATTTACCTTATGTCAGCATTAATGAAAGACATGACATGTACTGTACAGTGTTGTGTGCTTGAGGCCAATTCCCTTATCTTGCTGTCTGTTCAGGAGTTCCTTCACAGCAAAGATCTTCTCCATGGAAATATCCGTGCCCACAGTGTCCTAGTCAGTAAGGAGCTCACAGCCAAGCTTTGGGGCCTGCATGGGGTCTACACAAGGAAAAACCAAGGAGCCACTCAGACAGATGACCCCGGCATGAGAAAATGGCAGGCACCAGAGGTGATAGCCAAGAGGCCTGCCACTCACAGCAGTGATGTGTGAGTTCTTTTTATAGAACCACTTATCCACAAACTCCCTGGGTCACCTACCTCGCAGATGACCTGGAATTCTCTGCGGTTTACATTCTTTAATACAGATATTGCTGCAGCAGCATAAAAACTAAATTATTTATTAAATGTTGTTACTAAAGTATCACTGTATAGACATGAAATGCATATTCAGTTACTTTATTATTAAGAACATTTACTAATTGGAAGACTCTAACCTGTGTTTGGTTATGTGTGTCTCTCTCTAGCTGGTCATTTGGCATCATGTTGTATGAAATGGCAACATTGGGTAAGTTGAATTTTAACTTTTGGAAACATAGGTCATAATAGAAAACCTGTATGAGAATATATACTGAGACAATTTAAGTTTAATTGTCAGAAAATTTTCCTGTACCTACATTATAACTACATAATGCAATTGTAGGCAATGTTGAAAATAAACAGATCGACTTTACAGAAATATTGAACTTATTTTAATATAATTTTTGTGTTAATGTGATGAAGAACCTTAAGCTATAAGGTATTTAATTGGCTGGCATAGCCAAGAGTTATTTATTATTTTAGTGAAGAGTTTCAACAGCTTTACCTATTATATTTACTATTTGCTCTCCAGGTGAAGCTCCATTTGCAGAAGTCCCAGTCAATGAGCTTCTGCAATTTCATCAACGAGGGAAAACTCTGAAAAAACCCTCTAACTGCTCCAACTCTCTGTGAGTGTCCACTGCATGCTGAAGACAATAAAACACCAAATCTAAAGCAATTCATCAATTATAGTTTGCTTCTTTAACAAGTGTGCTCTGAAGTTCAGACAATTTTCTCTCTTTCTCTCAGGTACTCCATTATTAAGGGTTGTTGCCAGTGGAAGGATCAAGATCGACCGTCCTTGGCTGAAGTGAGCCGAAAACTTGTCTCAGGAGAAAAAGGTGCCTCTGACAAGGTCCTTAAAGTGCCGGGGCCAGTTAACATTGAGCAGTACCTGCAGGCAGCAGGATACGGGGAAACCAACAGCTACACCGTTTTCTGATCACTGCCTGTGCCGGCAAAATAAATTGCACGATTCTCAAAAATCCCAGCAGTGCACTTTTACAATATAAATCTCTCAGGTACAATAAAGGTGTTCTAAACTCTGTGTATAAGTGTATAACTGAAATTGTTCCTTTATTTTTTTATGTACTCTCCTACTTCAGGCCCAGACAATGTAAATGAGAAAAAATCTTCATAAACAATTCATTTTCAGACCCTATTCATGTGTGTCTTTGACAGTCTGGGCAATACCTAAATGGCTCAAGTTCAGTTGGGACAAACTACCAAAATGTTATAGTAGAAGTTATGTAAACCTGACCATTGTTCAGCTGTTGCATTATGAACTTGTACTTGATACTGTAAATATACAGTGATGAAGGTTTACAAATCTTAACTACATGATGCCAATGTATGAAGGATGTAATAACTATTATTACCGCACTGTGTATGATTCTGAGTTGCAGAAATGGACATTAAAGGAATTATCTTTATTTGCACTTGGGCATAATGACTTATTATTACACTCTGTTTTCTCTATAAGCTCAGTTTATGTGGACACCTATGAGCAACAAATGAGCTTAGCGGATGTCAGAGGGAAAGCATACAGAAATGCATCCACTAACTGGTATACTTTATTGGCAGTACTGCATACATGTACACAGAGCACGTCCACTCAGCCCTTGACAGAGCAAACCATGAGGAATGCCTATTTTCAGGTAGTTAAGTTGATTAAAGCTACTAAACTATATTGTATCATTGAAAAAATATTTTTAATTGTTGTACAAAATGGAAAAGATACAAAACTAAACTTTCATAATAACTGGTAAAATGAACTAATTAAAATACCAGACTTTTTCTGAGTGCTCGATGTGATCGGAGCCTGGAGGGAACATCTATGGTTAAAAAAAAACAAAGAAAGAATAAAAAACTACTAAAAGACTGCCACATTTAAATGAAATGGACCGTTGCTGACATCACTCTAAATCACGCCACTAAAGTTAAAGCACCGTTTGAAATACAGCAAGAAGGCAAAGTTTCTTTTACTTACCCAACAGGTGAACTGGCCTAGCTAAAAGACCTAGCACCAATGACTGCAGGCTGGCAGATGTGCGGTTTCACAAGAGTATACATAGAAAAATCTCTACTAATAGTGACATAAAAAACTGACAAACACTACTGATGTGGATACTTCAGACTGTCCATACTTACCACTCATACATAAGAGTATGCATACAACGTATGTTGAGCACATTCAATGTTCAGAAAGTAAATTGTCCACCTCTGTGTCGCCAAGTGATTGATGAAGCACTGCTGCTTTGTAAAAAAGCCACACATACTTGCTGCCCCTCTAGATCTCAGCCTTCCTTTTTAACTTCTTACTAAAAGAGGAGCATGTGCGGGTATTGGTATCAGTGACAAATCATCAGTGAGAAAATTATTCTGGTGTTCCTGTGAAGCACTGACTGCATCACTCACGCAGGCTGTTAATGGAGGCACAGATCTTTAGGGCAGGACCCAGCTTGATATTCATGGTAGAAATGAGATGGTCCTCTCGCAGAAGCAGCAGAGCCTGCCCATCTATTTCCTGTGACAAAAACTGGGCAGCCAGCTCCTCGCAACCTGAGCGTGACAACAAAACAAGAAGAAACAATTAGTACAAACAAGAGATGCGACTTGCACTTACGAACCCTGATCTGGTTGCTGACCACCAACCTTGAAGTGAAGCGATAAACCTGCAGACTTCTTCCACACTCCAATGAGCAGGAGTTGTTGAGAGAAAGTTACCCCCATCCACTGGAAGGCTTCCAGGACCTGAGCTGTCAGACTGAGGAGCGCTGTGGTCAGGTCTGGAGCAGGAGTGTGAGGAGCCTGGGGAAAGTGAAGGAGAATCCTCCTCCTCTTCTTCTTCCCCATCGCTGGATATGTCGTCTGAGCGACTGGACTCAGAGTGACACTATACCCAAAAGAGCAGAGATCAAGACAAAAGTCAAACTTGAGAATGCATGCTACATTTGTTGATACAGTCAACTTTACATACAGGATATGAGAGGTGTTATTCTGTATTTTTCTTACTTTCAATAATACACAAAAAGCCCCAAATCAGCCACTGTGCTAGTCCAATTCCCAGTACTTCTCTACTGCCTGTGGTATTCTGGTCAAGCCAAACCAATGTGTTCTCACTAAATACTTTATTATTTATAAAGATGAGTCACAAAGATTCATAAAAAAACAGGTTAACTAATTTTAGCATTACTCATAAGTAGGTGAACAGAAATAAGTACTGCATAAAAGAAATGTCACATGGTGGCGCTCAGTTTTTAAGATGTCTAATAAACTAGATACACAGTTAATAGGACAAATAAACTGCAAGATTAGATTTTTCTATGTGATTTGTTAACAACAAGAAAACATAGAATATTTGCAGCCTCAATCTTAAAACTACAGCTTGTACCTTGACAGGTAGCTGCCTGCTTGATATCTTAGAGGTCCTAGTAGAACTGCTCCTGCGAGAATTCACTCTGCGCTTTACATTGCTCTCAGTGGGTGCTGGAGGTGATGCCAGTGCTGCGGCATTTCTCCCTCTGCTTGTCTTGTAGTGTTGACTGCAGCTTACATTGTACCTATGAATCCAGGAGCACAGTCAGTGTTATGGAAGACATTTGGATTTATTTCTAATCAGTGTTTACAGTGTACATAATTTGTGGTATTACTGGGTGGAGTCATTGGCTGGAATGAAAACCTGCAAACTCTTGGTCACTCATTACCTAAGCTGCCCATCCTTGGTGACTATCACAGGGTATTTAGCTTATTTTATGAGACAGGTAAAAAAAAAGACTCAAAAGCAGACTACTCAGTTCCTCCAACCCCTCCCTCTCCATTACTTTACCCAGGCTTCAACTACAAATACTAGCATAACGTCTCTATGCAAGGGAAGTAGTAGACCAGAAGTGTGTTCATGTATAGATTGACAGTAGAACATGATCAGGCCGCATATTTCTGTCCAAACCTGACCCATACTACCCAAGAGAGCGGAATCTGAACCTGACGAGATTATAGTATATAATGTCCGAACCTGACCCGAGCCCGACAGATCCCGCTGGGCTTGATTTGGGTATCCACACTCTAATTGACAGCCATGAACTCCCACACCTTCTCTAATTGGTTAAAAGGATGAGACTTGATCAAAAACCAGAAGGTAGTATCTCTGCACTCCTGCCAGGCTGATTGATGAGTCTGAGTCAGAGAAGCCTTTGTCAGTACCTCTCCACATTAAACTGCTTTTGGAGCATACCTCAACTAAAATATTAGAAGAAAATTACATAGCTTTAAGAATTATGTGGAAATGTAAGCTTTATGATGCTAATGGAAAGCCTACCTTTTAGCACAAGTATTTGTACAGAACCTCTTTGATCCTCTGAATTGGCTGGCTGGAGCAAGGCTTCCACAGTACTCACATTTCAACACTGAAGAGATAATGGAAAACATAAAGTGCAATATACATTTAATATTTATGGTATCATACTCGTTTATTAAAAAATAAATTTTATACCAGCACTTACTTGGGGGTCCGTTCTCTGAGCGGCCAACCAGAGCAAAATCTCTGTCTTTGAGGAGTCCCGCAACCTATCACATCAAATACAAGCCTAACAGCAACTTTTCACGCACAAAAGTGAGTAGCAAGTGTCATTCGAATTAAGCTTCTGATCTGGTGTGAAATGAGCGTGTCTTAGCGAGGTACACTTACAGGGAACGGCTCGGCGCCCTCCTGGATGACAAAGCCCTCTATAAGGTGGGTGAGGACTTGAGGTTTGACCACTGCCTGGGGAACAGGTGCTCTGTCTTTGTCCCCATGCCCAACTCTTGACAAAGGCACTGGCAAGGACAGGGTGGGAGGAGACGAGAAGGCAGAGGCCGCAGGAGGGGCTGCTGAAGATAAAAAAAAAAACACAGAAAACAAAGAGCTTTCATCCAGATTTCTAGACTTAGTTACAATATTTAAATATTGCTAACAATGTTTTTATGATTCATTTAGAAATGACAAATTATCCATTTACCAGAATCCTTGGTAGGGGCTGGGGATAAGGGAGGAGCAGAATCTTTAAGGGGTGCGGAGTCAGATGATTCTGTTGGCATCTCATTTGGTGCATCACAGTCAGATTTCCTCTTCAGAGAGCCACCGGCAGGCTTGGTCTAATGTATGTGGAAAAACACAGCAGAGAGCATTACAATTTCTTCTACCAAAATACTTATCTACACCTAACCAACCTGACCTTACCATAACACTGCTGTTGGAGACATTCCCACCAGCTGTACTTTCCTGGGTTGTGCTGCTTCGTGCCTGTGCCAGTGCCACAGCCTGTGTGTTTCCTGCTAAGCTCTGTCTGGCTCCCACAAGCTGGACAGGGATGTGGGGAGGATTGTGTCCCCCAGTGGTGGCTTGGCTGTTGTTAGGTGGAGCTGGGAGAATTGGAGGTGGGTGTCTAGGGGGAAGCTGCACAGGTAAACGGTGTCCCTGAGCTGTCTTGGGCTGGATAGGCACAGGACCTTTGTCTGCAGTAGTGCTGGCCTGTTGTAGCGGCTGCACCACCAGAGTCTGCGTGTTGACACTGGCTTTTGGGGTCACTGAGCCAATGGGGTAGCCCTGAGTGGAGGTAGGAACACTGGAGGTGGGCACCAGAATCACAGGAGCAGCAGAGGAGGACAAGAGGAGCTGGGACAGAGGGAGCGCTGGAGACGAGGTGGAGGAAGGAGCTACTGAAGCAGCAGGTGTAACAGTCATGGCAGCCTGGTTTCCAGTCTTTATAGTCATAGTATTGGCGGTGGACTGTTGAGTGAAGTTGGGTTTGGCCATTTGTTGTTGCTGTTGTGGTTGCACTTGTTGCTGCTGAGGTGTTTGGGGGACAGTCTGCTGCTGCTGACAGAGGGGAAAGCTGGCAGTATCTTTCCTTTCTGGAAGCTCAGACTTTACAGCAACTGCTCTGGAAGCACAGTGTAGTGCCAGGTTCTGCACCTGAGAGATACAGAAAAGGGTAGGTTATGATTTAATGCATTTGAGAAACGCAGCAGCAGAAGAGGTTAGTGGAGTCAAATATTCTTCCTTCAGCAATCTCCACCAAGACACGACTTAAAATAGCTCAGACTTTACATGAACGTAATTATACTCAAATACAGATGAGCGATGGAATGATGTCCTCATCCATCACTGATTTCCACCCATCTTTATACTCAAACCTGATCATTGTCAGCCTGGGCATTGGCAGTGTTAGGAGCAACATCCAGCTGCTGCTGCTGCTGAGACTGTGTCTGGGCAACTGTTGCTACAGTAGCTGTTGCTGTACCACCAGGCATAAAGATGAGCTGAGAGGCAAGTGGAGCCCTGAGAGAGCGGTTGACCTACACAAGGAACACAACAAACTGTCAACAATGTAAATAACTAATAGATTATTTAATGACTATGTAACAATATGGAATATTTAATGATGTGCTAACATTTCCAGTGTCAAGTTCTAATTTTTAACAGAACTCTAACAAAGGTTGAATTGTTCTATCATAAAAATTTGTCTCACAGGAAGCACAATATGTAGTAATTTAACTGATGATTACTAAAAATGAACACAGTACATAATAATGTATAACTCACCCTAAGATACATCTGTCCCTGACCTGCTGAATTTCCACCCAGCAACACAGACTGGTTGAGAGCTGTAGTTGTTGCAGAGGTGGCCGGGCCATGGGGACGAGGATTAGTCAGCGTCCCTCCTGCAGATGTGGTGCTTAGGTTGACCTGGAAAGGAAAATTAAAGCTTTTTATCAAGCCCACCTACTATTTTAATAAATTTTGTACTGTACTGTAATTCAAAAATAATTGACAAAAACCCTTACAGTGGTAGGTGCCTGGGGCATGCTGTTACTTGGGGTATTGGACTGGCGACTAGCTGCAAGTGTGGCCTGGTTTAAAGGAAGAAATTAAAGAGATCAGGTGTGATGCTTTGACTTACCATACTATTTACTGACTACACTGACCGCCCACTTTAATAGGCACATCAGTGTTTATGAAGCTCAAAATATTTCAGTTTTTGGTGAACTTGTCATAAATGTATAAATTCAATTATATGTTGATTCAGTGTATATATTCATGTCATGATCCTGGTTACCTGTTGCACAGCAGCCAAATTGTGCAATTGGGCACTACTGATCTGCTGCTGTAGCATGAGCTGTTGGAAGTACTGAGCTGCATTTGGCTGTCGTTGCAGCGCTTGGAGAGCCTAAACACACACACATACATAAACATACATCGTTTTAAGACTAATCCAAAGAATATAAATAGGCAATACGAGATACCAAATATTAGTTTTCCCATCACATCCATCCATCTTCCTCCGCTTATCCGGAACTGGGTCGCAGGGGCAGCAGTCTAAGCAAAGATGCCCAGACTTCCCTCTCTCCAGACACTTCCTCCAGCTCCTCCGGGGGAATGCTGAGGCGTTTCCAGGCCAACCAAGAGACACAGTCCCTCCAGCATGTCCTGGGTCTTCCCCGGGGCCTCCTCCCGGTGGGACATGACCGGAACACCTCCCTAGGAAGGCGCCCAGGAGGCATCAAGCTCATTTCGGCCGCCTGTATCCGGGATCTTGCCCTTTCAGTCATGACCCAAAGGTCATGACCATAGGTGAGAGTCGGAACGTAGATCGACCATTACATCCGAGAGCTTCGCCTTACAGCTCAGCTCCTTCTTCACCACAACGGACCGGTACATCGACCGCATTACTGCAGAAGCTGCACCGATCCGCCTGTCAATCTCCCGTTCCATCCTTTCCTCACTCGTGAACAAGACCCCAAGATACTTGAACTCTCCACCAACCTGAAGGGAACAAGCCACCCTTTTCCGACTGAGAACCATGGCCTCAGATTTAGAGGTGTTGATTCTCATCCCAGCCGCTTCACACTCGGCTGCAAACCGCCCCAGTGCACGCTGGAGGTCCTGGCTATCACATCTATATAATATTTTATGTACACAAACTCTTACCTGTACAGCCTGTCTCTCATATAGAGACATGTGGGCTATCTGGGGTGCACGGGAGTTCCCGCTAGCCTGTGGATTTCCACTGGTGGTGCCTGTGTTTTGGTCTTCACCTGCATCCATCTTTGCTGCTAAAAACCGAAAAGCCACTCATCAAAGACAGTTGTGACAGAAAATGTTGCATTCTTAAATTTATATATTGCATACCTTCTTAGCTGCAAATATCTTAGTATGAAGACTTGTTGAATATGCAATTGTGGACTCTTGCAACAGGATCACATAGGAAAACTAAAATCATCCGTTATTATAATTTAACATAAAAAAAAACTGTCAGCTCATTAGGATTCAATCGCCTCACAGGGAAGACTGGAATAAAAGGGGTAGTAAGTAGTGAAACTTGTAGGGTCCCACTGCAGGAGTGCAACCTGAACGTTTCAAGCACTAAGACTGTTTTTAACAGGGGAACAGAGGGTTACTCTTTCAGAGGACCAGTCAAACAACTAGCGTTACCCCTCTGTATAGAGAAGTAATAACTTGTGATTCTGGCGGACTTAATCACTGCCACTGCCAGAGTAATAATCACGGCAAACCGGGGTACTGTGCTATTTTTATTAGCAGAGAAGTTGTCACTATGACAGATGAATGCGAGAGAAATTTCCAACATGGAGGAAAGCCAGAAGCTAGCCAGCTGTAGCTAACTACAATGGACTATGCAGGTTAGCTTTCTCTAAACAAAAGAATGATTTGTTATACCTAACATTCTTTAACGTTTGTAACTGGGCTAGAAACAGGTTGAATACAGAAATATAATATGAGTATATAAGAACCGTTATTTCGGTGCTAACACTAACGTTTACTAATGCAAAGGGTACAACGTTAATTTAATATATATAGGCTAACTAACTAGCGATGCTAGCTGCTTAATGCAGGCACAACGCTAACAATTAGGCTATCTGGCTATTATCTTTGCAAAAAGTCTACGTTCAGTGTTTTTCGGCGTGCTTATGTGTTTACCTCTCCTTGTTTATCTCCTTGTCACATTTAAAGGCAGACAAATCTATACTCCGACCTAGTTTTATCTACAAATAACGCCTTCCCCTTACAGGAATTTTGCCTCCAACAAAACCCCGCCCCTCACAACTCAATTTCTTTTCTTCTTCTTCTTCTTTTCCTTCTTCTATTAGATTTCCGACAGCCTGTACGCTGCGTGGCGTAATGCTGCCCCCACATAGATGTATTATGATAATACATAATAATATATAAGAGATCTGCTTATAATAAGTGATTTGAATCTCAAACACAAATAGGCGTCACTTTAGTACACATGATCTGCTGATAAATATCTTTTATGGCAACAACAAGGTCAAAGTGTTTATTTGTCATATGCACAGTTAGGAAATTTCCCTGTACAATGAAATTCTAACTTTGCCGTCCACATGAATGCCACAAAATACAAATGAAATATAAAGTAGATAAATAAGTTACACAAAATCTAAGACACTTTAAGCAGCAAATGCAGCAATATAATAAAAATATATAGGAATATAATAAGAGAATGTATGCTACATGGGAGTAGCATGTGCAGCAGTCAACAGTAAATGTGCAATTATGCATGTGCAAACCGAGTATGTAAACAGTACAGGTCGACAGTACATGACGTATTTCCTGGTAATAAACTCCTCAGCTGTTCAGGAGTCTGATGACAGAGGGAAAGAAGAATTTTTCAGTATGCAGGCCCTGCATTTCACACTCTGAACCTCCGGCCAGAGGGTAGGGAGGCAAACAGTTCGTGCTGGGGGTGGGTGGGATCTTTGAGGATAGAGGCAGCTTTCCTACGCACCCTGCGGTGGTAAATGCTCTGCAGAGAGGGCCCTGGAGTCCTGGTGATCTTCTCCGCAGTCTTTACCACTCTCTGCAGGTGCTTGCGGTCCATAGCAGTAGTGCTGCCATACCAGACAGTGATGCA